AGACACGAAGGTGTTTCCTGGGGGGCTCCCCCAGACCCTGGTGCCTGCTGTGCCCGCCCGTGGTGGGTGTCGAGGTGCCCAGGAGTTCAGCCTCCCAGAAGCATTTCCATATGTAAACCATTTGAAGTGTACTGGAACCCCCAAAAGGTTCTCTCATTAACTCAACTTCCCCTTGCACGCTGCTGCGTGGTGCTGGAAGAGCAGAGGGGAGGGGGCTGATGCTGCAGGCAGCTGAGACGGCCAATTTGATTTTTATTTTTTTTTTTAGTGGTTGTTATTTTTTAAACCCATTTAATTTCCCTGTAGCCCCTGTAGTGTTTTGGGTTGTTGTTGTTGTTGGGTTGGTTTTTTTTTTTCCGCTTTGTTTTGGTTTTGTTCTTTACTAAATGGCAGGAGAGCGTTTCCCTGGGTGCCTGCAGAGCTGGGAAGCAGTTCATCCGTGCCCTTGGTTGCTGTGCCATTGCTGCCCGCGCTGGCATGGAGGGTTCCCTGCGCCGCAGTCACATGCCTGCTGGCCGCCGGCCAGGGCAATCTGATCGCTCTCTGAGGAAACACTATCAGTTGCAGATGCAGCCAGGGTTACCAGAATAGTAAATAACGAATCACAAGACTCGGTCTATCTTTTCAACAAAAACAAATATTTTAATATGTTGGTTTTAGTAGAGAAGTAATTTCTTTTTTTTTTTTTTTTTCAAAACAGCCAAGCTGCGAGAGGCTTGGCTTGGGTTAGTTTGCATATGAAGGAGAAATAAGCTGTGTTTTACATAAAGTTGTGTGATTTATCTTCAGCCTCTAAGGTCAGCTGTGTCTGGGAGGTGTAAGTTTCGATACTTGCTTTGAGCTTTGAATCTCACCGAGCTTTGAACTGGACTTGGGATTTCTCCCTTTCTTTGGGCCTCTTGCATCCACTCCACTGAATGGGCTGTGAACAGAAAGATTTCCCTTAATCCCACCTCTGGTCCCAACTCACTGCTGCCAAGGCACGAGATCCCAGTGCCCCGAGAGCGCTGCACTGCTGGAGACCCTCCGGATCCCCCCGGCTGTGTGCCCCACTGGCAGGACCGTCGTGCCCCGGTCTGTAATCAGTCCGTGCTGCCCTCCCAAGAGGGGAGCAGCAGCAGAGGGGAGCGTGGAGCAGCTCCGAGGCAAACAGTGAGCCCCAGAGTGCCGTGGGTCAGCTGAGCACAAAGGTAACTGGACTTTCCCCCTCTGCAGCCCATTGACTGTTTCCTGGTTTTCCCATCGTGCCTGTGGCACATCTGAAAACCTCACCTTTGAGGAGGACAGGGTTGATTTTGACTCTTGTGAACACACAGGATAGATCTTGTATTTAAGGAAAACGGGTAGAAGAAATAAGGTAGAAAATGCCATTGTCCCCCTCACCCCCTTTCTTCTTGAGCAGTCCCAGTGACTCCGGCACGGTCACCTTGGCTGCCCTGTGGGGAGCTGCTCTGGGGGTCTTGTCACCTTACAGCTGCTTTCTTCTCTGCTGGGTAACCAGGGAATAACTCCTTCCTCCCCTGAGCGCCCCCCGTACCGGTGCCGTTGTGTGCTGGGCTCTCGCTTCCTGGGAGTTTCACTTTAAACACTAAACCACGGAAGATTTGGCAGCTGCTGCTCGAGTGCGTTTGCCTGCCTGCCGTGCACGGCCATTGCTCTACTTTTGGAAAAGTCTGTAAATTTTTCGACCAACATATCTAGAGAAGATCTTTCTAAATCAGGGGTGGTGCTAAGGATAGTGGGATAATGTAAATCTTTGTCCTGCAAAACAAAAAGATCTCTTCTAGAAAAAGTAGTGCATTAGGTGGGGAGAAACCTGAACTGATCAGTCATTTCCTTTGTTGTTTTGGGTATTTTTCAGGCTTGTATGAAAATACAGGTTCCCATAGTGTCATAACGTAGGCACTGTACTTAGAACTATAATTCTGTTTAGATTGTAGAGGAGTTTAACAGTAATCTGAGGGGTTTTAATCTGGTATTTTACTGCAAAGCCAAGTTTTAATCATACATTTACTGTTCTCTGTAAAGTCAGAAAGGATGTGGGTAGGTGCGTAATCCTTGAAACTGTGGGGTAGCTTGGACTCTCATAAGCTTTATTAAAAGCTAAAGAAGTAACCTGGTCCCCTTCTCTACAGATCCACACTTTGGTGGGTTTGGCCTGGAGATGCACCAGTTTTTTAAAGCAAGGAGGAAGTTACAGTATTTTTATAAGTCAGATGCACATAAACTTGCCCTAGTCATAAATCAAGCAGAACTATGGAGGATTTGCATGTTTAGAATGAAATGGAGAGAAAGCAGGGAGATAACGACGAGAAAAAATAACTTGTTTCTTCTCCATTTGGAACAGGGCAGCTCTTGACTTTTGCCAGTGAATGCTGCTGTGCTTGGGATCAGTTCAGGTGCATGCAGAAGAACCTTAACTCTTCGAGGTGGAAGGGTGAATTCCTAACTATTTAATGAACAACGTGGTTTGGATAATGGTGGATGAGAGAAATTTTGTTTCTGATAGAAATGACAGCTGGAACTAAGTGTTGCAGTACGCTCTTTGAATAGGGATCTCTGCCTTTGGTAATTTTGTTTACTCTTCTGGATTCTTTTTGTTTTCTAGAACGACTATTTGCAATCTCTACATGATGCCACGGATTGGGGAGCCCGTCTGGCTTACCATGATGTCGGGAACACCAGAAAAGAACCAGCTTTGCCATCGCTTCATGAAGGAATTCACTTTCTTGATGGAAAACGCTTCTAAAAACCAGTATGGTGGATTTTAGTTTTTAAATGTGTTTATGCCTTTGTATTTCAAACCAATTTTTAAATCTGCTTTAAAAATCCAGGTAATCAAAGAATCAAAAGACCATCCATAAGCACCTTCTTTTTAAAACAAAAAAGAAATAAGAAAGTGTCTTATTAAGTGCCTGCTTCCCCACAATCCTTAAATCTTGGTGGAGGCTAAACATTTGAAACGTGTCCATAGGAAGCGCGTGATGGGTGTGTATGTCTGGAAGGGGGTGAACACACCTTACGAAACGCATTTATCTACCTTCCCAAATCAGTTATCATATGATGAGCAGGGTTAGACTCTCAGGAAGAGCCATGTCTGCAATACTGTCTGACCACAAATTGCTGTTAAAGCTGACTGCTGTAAAACGCCGCTGAAGAAGTGGTGTGCTTCATTAGGACTCGCCTTTCTGCCCTCGAGGCAAAGCCGTGAGCAGTTGTTAAAAATTGAGAAAGCCAACGTTCTTGATAAACTCGGGAGAATCTGATAAGTTTACTCTTTTGTCAACACTTCATCCTCTTTCCCCCGGGCATGAATAGGGGAAGCTTTTAAAGCGTTTGGCTCCATCAGAGTCCTAAAACGAGCACAAACATGTGAAGTTTGAGTGGGAATAGCACTGGAAGACCAGCTGTTAGCTCCGGGGAAACTGCTCTCTGTGGGGTGGGGAAGGGGCTGCTGTTCACTGTCTTCCAGCTTTGCCACCAACTTTGTCATCTTTTCTCTTTCTGAGATGGGAGCGGGACAAATCAGCTCAGCACGGTCCACCTTCTCCAGCCTCAGTGCAATGGGAGAAAGTTTAGGGAGTTGTTAGGGGTTCTAATGTATTTTCCTAAAATAATTTCATGTTGCAACAGAAACTTTTTCCTGGGGTTAGCTCCTGCAGTCCCTGCCATTCTGAGCCCTCTACGTCGTGGTGACCTTTAAATGGTCATTAGTTTGGGTTTTTTTTCTTGCTTTATTTTAACTATAGTAAGATTTACATTGATGGAAGCAAAAGTAAAATCAAGCCCTATGTCCTGTACAATCCAGTTTTAAATCTCTTTTCCTCCTTTCGCTGTCCCTAGCGAGGAAACAGGGGTGAATTTAAACTGTAGGGTTCCTGATGCTTGTAAACTATTCCAACAGTGTTGTTTTGGGGCTCGGTGGTGTTTGACTGTGTTCCTCCCCCCCGCTGGGGCGCCCGCCAGCACCATCTGTCGGCACGCGGGCGGCTCTTGGAGCACTCCTGCACGCTCCTGCCAGGAACGGGGACTGGGAAGGAAGGCCTTTCCTCCACCGAGCAGGAACCAGGCGCTATCGTTACAATAAATCAGATAGTTAACATTTTTCAGAGAGGTTTTTCGCCTTACTTGCTTCGCTAGTGAAAACTGGTTTGCTGGGGTAAGGACGCAGTCTTTCTGGCTGAGCTATTGCTTTTATTGGTGGTGTTACAGAACTTTGAGGGGTTTTATTTTTGAAGAGGAGCTGCCATATGTGCTTAAATTGCGTAGCAGTTAGATGAAAGACTGCAGCACCTAGCTCTTTTACAGGTTTGGTAGCAGTTAGCCTTCCTTCTCATCAGTAATCAGAGATCTTAAGGGTTTGGGGTCTCCTTCTTGGAGTACAGAGGCCACACAATGCCACTGTTTTTTTAAAGTGAGGAAAGTAAGTTGGTTTTGAGATGTTTTACAACTTAAAGCTTGCAAAATAGGAAGTCTCATAATTATTGCTAAACAGGGGAACTGAGATGCCACAAGTTTAAAATATTTCATTTTACTTTAAATGTGTGTTCCAAAAAAGAGCTTTGAAGGGGTGGGAGGGAGGGTAGAGCCCTCTCGTCTCTCCCCAAAGAACTAAGACTGAAGGGGTGATCTCTGCTGACTTTTAGGCTGTTTCTGCAATCCTCGATCCAATCCAGACTGTAGAACTGCTGCCAGTTTAACATCCAGAGTCTGTATCTGGAAAAAAAAAATGATGTCAAACATTTTGTTTTCAGGTTTTTACCAGCTTTACTGACTGCAGTCCTGACTAACCACTTGGCCTGGGTCCCCACCGTCATGCCGAATGGCCAGCCGCCTATAAGAATCTTCCTGGAAAAGCATTCTTCCCAGAGCGTGGACATGCTGGCCAAAACTCATCCATACAACCCACTGTGGGCACAGCTCGGTACGTGGCAAACGTCTCTGAACCATCCAACAGCTTTATGTCTATGGGTATGCGCACGGTGGTTTTTATGGATGCTCGTTACTTCCTTCCCCCAAGTTAATTTTTTCGGTTTTAATTCAAAACGAGACAAAAACTTCCTCTGGTCCTCCCTCCATAAGAAAAATCAACTTTTATTTTTTTGGGATGCTGCTATCAGAAAGCCTGGTTCTGGAAAGAGCAAATCAAGGAAGTCCATCTTTTGATGAGAAATGAATGTACTCTCAATACAGCGGGCAAAGGAGTGACGCAGTACAGGAAATCATGACTAGGCACCCCCTGGGTAGGGTCTCAAAGCCTGGTCCATTGAGTAGCCAGTCAGACTGTCTTCTAATTGCAGGGTAGTAAAGAGGAGATGAGCTTCCTACTCTCTGATCGGTTTGTCCTGCTCTGCACACAAACTCTCATGGAATTTGGTTAGGGAAGGGAAAGGAAAGTTTTGTGAGGTTGCCTTATTCTGGTACAGGCAGGAATGGCCAGGGACTTGGCAAGAAGACTTGATTTCAGAGCTCACAGGACTCCAGGCATCTGCTGTGGTTAGGTTGGCCTTTGAGGTCTCTTGAATCCCTTGTCCCCTCTTCCCTGCATTTGTGCAGGGCCCTCATACGTCCAGAACAGCACATTCGTAGACACTTCCCCAGGTGACTCTGGAGTGCAGTCCAAACAAGCCATCCAACCCATAGCAGAGCTCCAGGAGAGGGAGGAGAAGGAGATTGGCTTCAGCTGTGCGCCCGCCACTGTCACTTTTTGCCCTCGTTCTTGGCATGGGTTTGTTTCTCCCTACAGCTTTCTCTTGGTGGGTAAAAGTTCAGCTTATTTTCCAGACTATCCAGGGTAATTCAGAGCAGATGCCTCCTCTCACCCGTGGCTATATAAGGAATTTCGGAGACTAGCCTCCAAAGCTAGGCACTGAAGTTAGGTGGTGTGAATGCTCCCTAATATGTGAGATCAGATGTCTCCCTGACCAGCGTGTCACCTTACATACGATACCAACAGCATCTTTGGGATTCTCTGTATTGAAAACAAACTACTAGCATAGCTGTCCTCCCTCTTCTGCTTTATGTTTTTCTGCTGCAGACCCGGCCTTTGAAAAGTGGCCACGACAATGGCCTGTTAGAAGAATTCTAAGTTCCTTCCAGTACCTAAAGGGGGCCTACAGGAAAGCTGGAGAGGGACTTTTTCCAAGGGCATGTAGTGACAGGACAAGGGGCAATGGCTTTAAACTGAAAGAGGGCAAATTTAGATTGGATCTAAGGAAGAAATTTTTCACTCAGAGGGTGGTGAGGCACTGGACCAGGTTGCCCAGAGAAGTTGTGGCTGCCCCATCCCTGGAAGTGTTCAAGGCCAGGTTGGATGAGGCTTTGGGCAACCTGGTGTAGTGGAGGGTGTCCCTGCCCATGGCAGGGGGATTGGAATTGAATGATTTTTGAGGTCCCTTCCAACCCAAACCATTCTATGATTCTAAGAATAATTTATTTTAAAGATGCAAAATAATTGTCTGTTTATTTCCTGTTCTAGGTGACCTGTATGGGGCTATTGGATCACCTGTGAGATTAGCCAAAACAGTTGTGGTTGGCAAAAGGCATGACCTGGTGCAGAGGTTGCTTTATTTCCTTACTTACTTCATCAGATGCTCTGAACTTCAAGAGACGCATCTTCTAGAAAATGGGGAAGACGAAGCCATTGTCATGCCTGGAACTGTTATAACTACCACGCTGGAGAAAGGAGAAGTAGAAGAATCTGAGTATGTGCTTGTCACGATGCACAAGAACAGGGGCAACTTGCTGCCGACGGAGTCTGAAGAAATGAGAACTCCTAACTGCAGCTGTAAATATTGCAAATGTCCCATTTCCCTTGCACAAAACATAGAAGGTGTTTCCCAGCCAGAGAGAGAAGATGCACAAAACACTCCTAAGGTAGAGCTGGAGACTTCTTCAGATGAGAACAGGACTGTCGTTCCTGACGATTGCCAGGAAGATGCTGTTGACCTCAAGCAACCAAGACCCTGCCTGGACACAAAACTAGAGACTGTGGTGTGCACTGGGTCAGCTTCACCAGAAAAACGTGTAGTGACGGAATCTGGTTTGGAGCCAACAGCAAACGCGTGGAGGAGCGAAGACTCGCTGGAATCAGGCAACCAGGTGGCCAGCGTAGCGAGGTCACCCGGCATCGCGGTGGAAAAGAAGCCGCCGGATAAGCTTTTCTGCGACGCCTTTCCTTGCAGCGCTGCTGAAGCTCAGACAAAGGTGACTTTCCTCATCGGAGATTCCATGTCGCCCGACTCAGACATCGAACTCCGAAGTCAGGCAGTGGTGGAACAAATTGCTAGGCATCACAGCCCGCCAGCAACGGAGGAAGGAGTGTCTGCTGATCAGAACTGTGAAGCTAAACAAACTGTTGAGGACCAAAATAGAGACCGTGGGACAGCTGAACCCTTTCCTCAAGTTGCTAGTGAGCATCAGAGCTGGAATCCAAATCCCTACAACGCTGAGAGCATGAGTCTGTTTGACGAATATTTTACTGATGACAGTTCAATCGAAACCCGGACTATTGATGATATTCCAGGGCAAGCAGCTGCAGACCTTGCTCACAACAGTAGTTTAGAGTTTTCTAAAAAGCTGTGTACAAAGACCAGCAAACCACCTAGCGAATTTTGTAGATTTATGGACTCTGTTCGACAAGAGACCTACAAAAACTGCTTTAATGAGCAGGACCAAAGAGAGAAAATCTCTATTCGCGTCCCCCATGGGGACAGAGAAAACGTGGAGAAAAAAGTCGCCCCGGGAATTGATTGGGACATTCCAAGAAATGAGAGTTCAGATAGTGCCCTGGGTGACAGCGAAAGTGAGGATACAGGTCACGATCTAACTAGACCAAGCGGTAACTATTACGGAGGAGAGCAAGAAGACTGGGCAGAAGAATATGAGATTCCTTTTCCTGGGTAAGTACTATTCAGCAGAAATAGAGCCTAAAAAAGATGGAGCCTCTTCTCATGTCACATGTTTGGAGGAACGTAGCCTGACTTGGCATCAGTAGCTGGAGAAGTGTCTCTTGAGCCTGCTGGTTGTAAAAGAATATAGAGAGATCAGTGGTCTGGAAAAAAATATTAATTGTGTGTTGCGATCTTGGCTCATATCCTTTTCTTCCACAGTGGTCTGACTGCAGGAGCTGACTTGAAACTCTTTCTTTGTAAAAGGAAGCTAGAAGAGATAGGACAAATGTGAGAATGCAACCTCTCTGTAAGCTGAATTTGGTGTTGACTGTTGTACATCTCTTCGATATGCCTTTTTTGCAGGTCAAAATTAGTTGAAGTGAACTCTGTCCAGCCCAGTATTGCCAATTTCGGAAGATCCTTACTAGGTGGCTACTGTTCATCTTACGTCCCCGACTTCGTTTTGCAAGGAATAGGCAGCGATGAAAAGCTGAGGCACTGTTTGGTGTCAGATTTGTCTCACGCTGTGCAGGTAATTAAGCTATATTTGGTAAATGTATTTGTCACAGTAGGTAAAGGCAAATGTTTTTGAATGTACAAACCTGCTGGAAGCGGAAATATTTACTGCCGCAGCTCCCTTCAGGTTTCTCCAGTCCCAAGTCACCAATTTTTTTTCTTCTCTTTCAATTAATGTATTTGAAAAACATGGTTATTTCACTGCAAATCTGGAGCACAAAAACTTAAGACTCGGGCTGAATCCAGCTGAGAGGCTCGTGCCCTTGGGAAGCCAGATCTCTGTGCTAAGCCAAAGAGGAATCGTCGTCTCCTGTAGGCACGGCAGCCTGCCGATGGTCGCGTGCCCACAGGATGGAATGATGTTAAACGAGACCAAACACTGAGGTTGCTGTCCATCTCTTCCCAGGCATGGAGTCTTGCTGCAGCAGGTGTGCAGAAGCTCCCTTTGCTCCTTCCTCTCCCCATGCACATCTAACCAGCGCTCAGTATTTTGGGGAGACTACTCCTTTTTTTAGGATTGTAGTCAAAGTGTCCGATAGTGCCAGCGTTGTTGGAAAAGGAGGAGCCTGTATGAAAATAATTGTCCTAAGGGGACTTCCACTTCTCATCTGTGCTGGAAATCATCTCTTCTCTACAGAAGCTTTTCCCTTGATGAACTGGGCATGACTGGGAAGCATGGTATTTCCTACCCCTTTTACAGTCACCAGGACAGGAGTGGAAAACAGGCTGTCACTGAAGAGTGTGGTCCTGCTCCCCTCTAGTTTATTCCCAAGGGAATGGGGAAGGACCATGCACAGACTGGTAGCAGGCAGCCCGCTTCTCTGAGCGCTCCCCTGGGAGCCTCCGAAATGTCCCCTTCTTCCAGACCTCTGGAGTTGACAAGGTGCATCACACCTTACACAGACATCACCGCCACCCCTCCTGCGACCATCCCAACCCTACTGTCCTCTTTCCTTCTGCCCAGCCCTGGGCATGGGGGGAGTTCTGCTCCCTGTGGGGCTCTCCTAGGTGCTGGTTTAGGCCATCGTGGTTTAGGCTCAATGTTTAAGCTGTTTGTAAAATTTAACTGAACTTCAGCGTGAGGTAGCTGCTGCTATGAAACAGATGTAGCTGAAATATGACCCGACAGCGGTGTGTGTCCCTCAGCAGACTTAAATTTCAGTTGCAAAAGTCAAAGATTGAGGACATGAAAGGTCCGAGCAAGATTTTATATCCTTGTTGTCAAGTATAATAGCAACTGCATCCTAGCCCTGTGTGGAGTCCCTGTGGGACTCTCTGGAAGGAGATGTTTCCAACAGTCCAGCCCAAAAAAATGTACTGGGGAAGGAGAGTGGGGTTCCAAATACTCCCTTTTTAAAGCCTCTGTGGCTTCAGAGAGCTGAACTGTTGCCTGGAGGGACTGGAGGAGCTGTGCGCAGGCTGGGTCCTCACTCCCTCTGCTGGCACTCCGTAAAGGAAACCAGTGACAACTGGGAACACAACCGACCTTGGTAACAGCTGTCTTGAACAGCATGTTGGACTTCGGTACTTCCAGTTTTAGGGGTTTAAAATATACTTTAGATATGTCAGAACTCTTTATATCAAATACCAAGAGACATAATTGTTAGCCAGTGACACACTGGGAAGCCTGGAAGAAGATGTAAAATGGTGACTATCCTTCTAGGACTGTGCCTTGCTCACAATAACGCTCTGGTTTTAATAGGTGGAATGCAATTCTTAGCACGTGTTGCTGTATTTGAGATGCAGCCGTGTCTGGGACGCTATCCCTGCCATCCAGGACAGCGACGTTTTGTGGAAAGACCATTGTCATTTGTCACTCTCAGGGTTCAGCTCTGTGGTTTTGTGTTTCCAGCATCCAGTTCTGGATGAACCGATCGCAGAAGCTGTCTGCATTATTGCAGACACGGACAAATGGACGGTGCAAGTGGCCAGTAGCCAGCGACGAATGATTGATAATAAGCTGGGAAAAGAAGTGTTAGTCTCGAGTCTCGTCTCCAACCTGCTTCATTCCACTCTTCAGCTTTACAAGCATAATTTATCTCCAAACTTTGTAAGTATGAGTGGTGATGGTTTTTAAAGCATCCATTCACTTCATAGGTTAAAGAGGGTTCTGCCTAGTTTGTTTATCTGTAGCCGCAATTTTAGTAGCCAGAGGTTGGATGAGGCTTTGGGCAACCTGGTGTAGAGGAGGGTGTCCCTGCCCGTGGCAGGGGGTTTGGAACTGGATGATCTTTGAGGTCCCTTCCAACCCAAACCGTTCTGTGATTCTATGTATCTGTTCGAGCTGTCCATCTCAGCGCCGCTTTACGATCAAGACAGCTGTCACATTAATTCTGATTTAACATGTAATCGGAGGCTTCGGCTCAAAAGTGAGAGTCTTGCCAGTGACTATCTCGCTCATTGTTCACCTGGACACGGCCACAGAAGAGGCAGCAGACGCAGGGGGTCTGTGCCGTTTCGCTCCGAGGCTGGTTGCAGGTTGGGTAACGGCGCTGCCTGCTCCTGACGCAACTCCCTTTGCTCTCTAGTGTGTCATGCACCTGGAGGATCGGCTGCAGGAGCTCTACTTCAAAAGCAAGATGCTGTCCGAGTATCTCAAGGGCCAGATGAGAGTTCACGTCAAGGAGCTCGGCGTGGTGCTGGGGTAAGATCACAGCCTCCCTCCGAGCAGCGCTGCCCTGGCTTTCCTGGTGCCAAATCCTCTGCCTGGGCTTGTCCTGAGCACAGCGAAATGATTCCTAAACGGGACTGGAACCGCAGTGTGGCATAAATCACCCATGGCTGCAGGCTTCTCCTTAGCCATTGCTTGATCCCAAGGATCCCCCAGCCTTTCTCCCTTCCCCCCGGGCAGGAAGATGGGCTCAGCACTCCAGAGCTTATCAGGCCCCTTCCTTAGTTGGTCAGTCATCACTGAACAACGCAGGGCACCTGATTCCTCCAGGT